ATTAGGTTAGTCATCCCACTTTTCTCGTTTGACAACATATCGTACTAGCGTTTACAAACTAAGGCGGCCATTAAAATGGTCACACAAACTGCCTGTTTGAGGGGTCGATCAGATTTAAATATTAGACTATCGCAAGCCAATAGATTTAACAATTAATTAACTAATTCATAGTTGAGCTAGAATGATCTGTTCGAGACAGATCCATAACTTCTCTTCGCTTTTACTAGCACTCGGAAGAGCTACATACCTATCAATCGCATTTCCATAAGTTGTTTTTTAGCTATGACTTCCCAAAAGTAAGTCGATATTGGCATATGATTGTCCATCAGTTGTCCTTCTTAGGGCATAGAATACTTTATAACGAACCTAGATCGAGAGAATAAGAAGGTTTAAGCCAATATTGGATATTTCTTTTCCTCAATATAGGAAGTAATTGAAGCATTGTGATGAGGTTTTGTGTTGTTATCAAATGTCAGGGCTACGTGCTTTCGGTTGTAGCTCACAGGCCTCTTAAAAAACTCGAGATAGCGAGGTGCGTTTATTGTTTGACAGTCAGCGACTATCCCACAGTAACGGATGCTCTTCATGTTTACTACAGACAGTGCCTTCATTTTACAACCAAATCTACTTGACTTTCCTTCAGGGCAACGTCATTCCCTCGTCATTAGGAATTGAATCATGCTTCGTTGTGGTGACTGTATGCTCGGGGTAAGTTTATGTTGATGAAATTTCGCAAATTGTACCTAAAATATACCACATGCATTCCCAACTGGCCTGGTCAATTTACGGGAAATTCATTCAGTTTCAGTAGTTTCAGTATTTAGGTATATAATTTTGTAATATATCACATATGAAATGCCAATTTTGGCCGACAGAGCACTTAGTTTCCAGGCTCTGCTTTCATAAAAAACCTTCTCAATTGCGCAGCATGTGCTTGTTTATCGACTCCTTATATTTACTCATTTTCTCACTAATCTTCAGCGCCTCAGTCTTCGTTTTCGAAACGTTTGCACTATTCTTATTCTGTACGTTCGTTCAAGTCCTTTTTGCCTTTGCCTATGTCTTTGATAAATTTCTGCAGCGTTGTGTGCTTTAAGAAATAAAAACTTGACCACTAACCGTTAATTTTCAAAACAAAACAAACGGTTTTCACGTGTATAAGTTTCTAGAAGATTGGATATTTGCTAGACAAATTTCGTCTGTTACTGGCTCGTAGAAAAGTTATAATTTCAAAGTGCGCCTCATTCGCTTGTACTAACCTAAAAAAAAGTGATCGCTTTCCGACTACTTAACCAGCGACCCGTTCGTTTAAGGATGCTGTAATCATTCCAGATCCGTCATAGCCATTACCAAATCAATAGGTTAAAACTGAAATTGAAGTATCTCGCGGCCTTCCTCCAGCATTCGACAACATTATTGGCTGCCCTGTCTCATAAGTTCTAAGCAAAGCTTAAAGATTTATAGGTTGCCTTATTATAATATGATTCGCTTAATTGTTATGAAACTCCTACACACCCCTTACTAACGAAACGTACGTTGCATTAAATTAAGTTTCATTTAATACGCCATATTTATGCATTTTTAAACTGCTTAGTGGAATCCACGATAAATAGTTTACGAAGATTACATTATTACGTAATATACATCAAATTATACTGCAACGTAGAGTGGCCCTTGCCCTTAACTACTGCTGTCACAGCCATTTTACCATAAGAAGACTAATGCAACAGCAGTTACTGTGAAATTAATGCTGAGGGTCCCTTGAAATAATCGTAAATCCGATACTATTATCTGGTGGAAACAATCGCTTATTATAATGGCCATATTTTGCTACTTCGGACTAAATTCGGATTTTTTACATGCTCATCTACCTACATAGTAACTTGGTATAGAAAAGGCGTTAAAATGCACTATTAACGAACTTAAATCAAATCAATCACGATCAAATCAAAAACGAGGAATACAAATTCAGTTTTGGTTCCAAAACGTATAAACTATCTAAAGTAGACTATTATACTACCTGCACTTCCAAATTATGTCCATTACTACCTGGCCTTGTATTTAATTGGCTAAACCCTTGTTAGTTTTGACGATGTCTGATTTTATTTTTATTATTTATGTAGTTCGATTTAGTTTTATAATCAACAGTTTCTTTAAGCAACTTGATTTGCATATTGTGGCTGTATTTTTTAGTAAAATGCAGCCTCTTTAGCAGGGAAACGATCTATATATAGTAAATCAATGGAATATAAAAAATAATACTATTGTAATAGGGTATAGTGCTGTCTTAATTAGCCGCACTGTGGATTTTCTCATACATGTCATCGCACTGCCGTTCTTATTTGATGACACATTTAATGTATTATTATGATAGGACATAGCGATGGCGGAGTCTAAAGAAAATGTGAAACTACAATGGAAACACCGTCTTGCATGCATTGTCCAAACTGTGCAGAAACTCGCGGTTCTGAATATGCGAAAAGATCTGGCTTAACGTACGACCTAGGATAAGACAAACTGTTTAAATATTATTTATAACCTTCATGATAAAAATCTAAAAAGAACTTTATAAATTTCTCTATATTAAGCTTGCTTTGTTTTGTGACGTTATATTTGTAGCACAATAAAAATATAGCACATCTGACATTTTACTACACTAGAATATCGTATATATATATACACTTACATAATGAGAACCATTTACTCGAATAGTCGGCATTGTAAGTACTATTTTTATTTTCTCTACTAATTGTAATAATGGTAATAATAGCAATAATATGATAACTCTTTACACCTATATTTCAGTGTCCCCTCTCGCTTTATTTTAGTTATGTTATATTATGTAACGTATAAACGTTCGATATTTCTGTGTTGGTAATAGGTGTATTCATTTAGTGAGGATTCCATCTTTGCTTCTCTCTCCATCAACATTTGCTAATTACATGGTATGTAAGAATAAGTTAATAATACAACGTTATTTTTCTGACCCTGGTGCGTCTCACTCAGCCGCAACGATAACCTGCTTTTCTTTCACACACACATTCACCCACCCACCATTATTACAATCGATCTTTCTGTCGCTATCTTTCCAATACTGACGATTGCATGTCAAGGACTGGTTGGTAGCTAATATAATAAAGACAAGAAGAGGTCGGAGATGGAAAATTGATGCGAGCAGACTATATTTCAAGAGTGGTATGGAGATCTTTTCCGTCACCACGTTATTATGCTGGTGATGAAGTTCGTGCATACAGATGCGATAATTCCACAACACCTATTCTTTACCCTGCAGTGAAAACTATCGCGCATAAAATGGACTACGTGTTCTCCACTAACGTGATACCTTTACACGGACGAGCCGTGTAAGCTGACAAAAGCAGCCTAGTTGGAATTAACATTAGCTTGTTATTCAGTTAAAGTTGGCCAAAGCGTAGAAATGCTAATAATGCTGTTATTGTAGGCGATCCAGATCATCTTTGCCAAACATCTTTGTTGCTCCCCCTTAAACACTATATAGCTATCCAGAAGAGGACAAATGGAATCCACCTGTGGCCGTATGGGATACGGATTCAAACAAAGAACTGTCGCCTTTGGAAGCAGCAGACGATGCGTTGAGAAATGTGTCATAGAGATGTGTAGCAAAATTAGATGCTATTAGCAGTTGATGTATTAAACAACTAAGCTACGATCTGTAATAATCGATAACCTCCATAACCATAGTGCGTTTAGTTAGAATACATGTGTGATTTGCCGCAAATGATCTCAAATGCACTTTATTTTTTAATCGATTAATAACCTATGGACCGTTTACAGCGCTATATAAAATAACGCTCAAATAAAGGAATAAGCTTCGTATTATCCTTTCTAATCTTGTAGACAAAAACAGGAATACAACTAACCTGCGTGTTTAATGTAATAAGTGACTAACTTGAAGCCTGTCTGAGTCCCTCGGGAAATTACTAAATTTCGTACGTTCTACTAGATCCATGATGAACAAAGATTTTACTTATGCTGATCCGACAGATCCAACGAGAGATCTCGCATGTTAAATGATAATACGATATATCTCCCAAATCACAAGATGCGGTTGCCAAACATGCAGTAGCCGCCTAAATCCTGCCAGAACAATTAAGATCATTCGCTGTCGTTCAAAAGGATTTACCTTAAGCTATTGAAATAAATGTAATGTATCAAAAACATGCGTCTGCTCCTTTAATATTACCTACTAGAAAGCACAGTAAGATAATAGGCACGAAGAAGAAGGGTTGTGTCCATTACAACAACAGCGTAAATATATTTGATATAATCATACAGATACCAACAAATAAATACGCTCTCCTCTAATTATCTAGATGACATCGCCAATGTAGCCTTTTTGTCGCTACTCAAAACAATTATACATATTATTCGCAATAAGTTTACGCAGACTGATCTATAACTAATCATCTCGAATACTGAGATTTGGTGATTATATCTTAGGCGGTTAGGGACTCAGACGAGTGCAAAGTACAAACGAATATTCGGATAATAATCAATCCGTCCGTATGCCACTTCCAGACGTCTTACAGGTAGGTATGTTCTCATTATGTTAGGTCGTTTTAAGTGTCCTGTAATCAGTTTTGCAAACTAAATTTAAAGGGAGAATGAAGGATGCATATACGCTATTTATTCGATCGCAGAGGATTACACTCATTGGCCATTGCGAGAGTCTCAAAATATTTCTGTAATTCCACGAACAAAATGTAGCAGTGAGAACTTCGTCCATCAACACCAATCAGTTTAGCCAGCGACTATTACCGCATACTGGATTTGAGTTCTAATGTATCAATATAATAATTATGGGCAGCAGTCTTGCTTCATTTATCATCCATAATCGGGTGACTCGTGGGGTTATGTCTCAGTGTATCACACTTTTAGGACACTTCTGCACTATGGTGCAACTTGTTCGCGCATAGTTGTAGAGATACTATTACAGGTGTTGCACTAAATTCTTAGTATTCTATTGCAGCACTCAAACAGTCATGGACGAACGTCAATTTAGAAAAACAAAAGGGGGGGGGGGGTCAAAGCCAAACGAACCCTCAGGAGAGTAACGATATCTATAAGAAGGAAATAGATGGAAAATTATTGCGTTCGCTCACTTCTTCATGCCACAAAAGAGCAAATGATTCAAACTACAAAAGTACAACTGTGTATACTGCCTGACTTCTATGTGCAACGTTGCCTCGTTTAATCAGAAATAAGTAACGCCTACTACCATATTTTAAATATCGGTATCAACGGCATAGCTATCTACCGAGACAGTTTAAACATTATTTATAGCATATCACTTTTCTCTTTTTCTACCACCTTACCATTTCCACCGAATCTTTTTTTCAAAGCAGGTAAAAATTATTTTCTGCAATTTACAATTCTCGTCACCATTATCACTTGTCGTCGGTACCTCATAGTAATTTCCTCTAGCCGAAATTGTTACCTCTATTGTGTTGACGTCCACAAGTCACCCTATTTCTCTTCCATCTCCTTGCATTCTACCACGGGCTACCTATACAATCACTGCGACAACTTCGTTGCTTTCCCTCATTTCTCCTTTTAAACTCCGTAGTTCTTACGCTCTGCGGGTCATCATACCGCCGTTCCGGTTGCCATAGCCCCCGCCATTGTTGCCCCCATGATGCCGGGGTCCGTTAGTATACCCAGCTCGATCATTACGGCCATTCCAAGAGGAGTTCCCTCGACTGTTACTGCTGTTATCTCCGCCTCTCCGATTATCTGACCAGTTGTTTCGTCCACTTGAATCAGCGTAATGGCCACCTTTGTGCCCGCTGCGGTTGCCGCGGCTACCACCGGCACTTGCTCCTCGATAGTAGCCGATATTATTACTGCTCCCCTTGTGCACCGGCTGTTGCTGACTCTGATCATGGTGGTCTCCGCGACTGTTGTTGTCTCTTGGAGATCTTCTGTTATCTCTGGCGTTATATCCATGTTGCGGATGTTGTTCTGCTATACGAATCTCATTCGTGGCATCGACTTTTTGCCCTTCCGTAGTTCCGTTCTGTTGTTGTGTGTCATCACTTCTCGTATTTTTTAACCCTTGTGCAAACTTTTGTCGGAGCATAAACAAGTTTTCTTCCATTCTTTTGCAATCCTCGTAGATTTCTCTTTGCTTCTCAATGGGGAGGTTTTTATCTACAGTTAATGATTGTGACCCTTTGCTCGACGGGTGCATGTGATCGTAATACCTGGCTAATGATGAGGGCACACGTACTAAAGCAGAGCACGGAGACGCATTAGAAAATGTCGATGGCAACTGGTCATCCTGAAAGAAATCAAACTCACGATCTTCAAACATGGAATCTAAATCCGGTACCGTAACAGCGGGGCTCGGCTCGGTAGCACAACATGGAGTCCCGTTGATATGGTGAGGTGGTTGTATGTGATGCTGTTGAGATTGAACGGTCAGTGCATTTTCAACCGACCCAAACTGAATCGTATCACCATTATTCTCCTCTTTTAATGACTGTGACTGCTGTTCCTGCACCGGTGACACTGGGACGACATTCATACCGGGAATAACTGCCATAAGGCCACCATGGCTGGGATGATGCCCGTGACTAGTCCCATGGTGAACACCAGGATGCGGCGCCGGATGAGCACTCTGATGATTTATAACCTGCGGAATAGGAGGCACAAGTTCGCGAGGCGGCAGGAGATATCGGTAGTCGTCAATCGGAGCGTGCGAGTAGAAGGCCACCGTACAGAACATGTCTTCACCGCCCTTCTTGCCCTTGAGTAGAATCTATTAATACAAGATGTACACACACTGCCTTCAAGCACGTGGGTAGCAAAGGCATATAGCAATGCTTTCAAACGCTGCCGATCAAAAATCAAGGGCACTGGCATCTTTTTCAGAGGTAATAGCAGAAACCAAAGGGGACGTTGTACCCTTCGTGAATTTTTGGAATACTTTACTTAAACCCCTTATTTACAATTAGCCTATGCAAATCCCCGCTCCTCAATAGTCTCACTGACCAATAGATGCCAATAAGCAATGCAACACTCGTTTAAAGGAACCACTTCCTGCGCGGATGACCAATAATTTCACGCTTGAGTGCCCTCCTAAGTAACCCATAAAACCGACTAATTAGGAGGATACAGTTCGTCCAGAGACTTACGCAGCCCTATTAGAGGCAACCTAAGAGTTTATATCTTGAAAAAACTTTTTTTCACTTTTGCATTTATATTTTGATAATCAATCTTTTTTCTCTATTACATAGAACTTTTTAAAAGTAACAACAAAATTCTATAGGTAATGGGTTAATTTGTTTTTTCGATTCAGTTTTGTAATTTTCTAATAGCAATTAAAAAGCCTAGCTTTTGGCGATTTCAAAATTTTTTGCTTACTATTTTCCTGAATCGGTATTTTCGGAAGAACAAAATTTGTAAAGCCTCCTATAGGGTTGTGTGACTTTTTGGACGCTTTGTAATACTATAGAGGGCTACGATGAAGCTAGTACGGGGCCGAAAAACTCACGCGCGTATAATATATAAAAGTTGATCTAAAAACCTTAATATAATATTGTAAATTTTAGATGGAAAATAATCATGCACTTACGGCAGCAGGATGGTGATGAACTGCGGGTACAGGGGAAACGGCGTGGTGAGTAGAAGCCATTTGCTGGTCATGGATCTGTTGCTGAAGTTGTTGCATACTGGGGGCTGTCACAGTCGAAAAGCTATCTGTCTGTTCGAGAGGGAGCTGTTGATGTTGGTCTCCAGCTGATCCCACATTATGCATGGACGGCGGTTCTTCTGAGGGCTGGGTTTCCACGATGCCACCTGTTGTGGATTCCATGTCCGATATCACGGCGTCCGGGTTTAAAGGCGAATCGCCGCGAATATTAGTTAAAGGCCCGAATCCCTCGTTCTTTCCAGAATTTTCTAGACCGTCCGTACATAGTGATACCTCATCCAACTTAGCCAGTAGTTCACCCATTGAAGACAGTTTTGCGTGTACAGCCTAGAAGTGAAATAGTTATAATAACAATCGTAACAACAAAAATAATAAGGGTGAAACGGTTTAATTATGTGTTACTAAATGCATTACATGTTTATGAAGAAAACAAATGATTTTTATATATGGTAAGGTTCTCACCGTTTTATAGCCATTTAGTATTGATACTCCCAGCTGAGAAGTAGGTGTTCCCTCTTTATAAAATAACTAAGGTTTCAACGTGCTTACTATTGAAAAATTAGCGGTCTGCCAATTCCCGGCCCGAATATTAAATACACAGATGTTTCTAATAATTTATTTTTTGACAATAGCCTTTTCGCTTTCGGGAGTGAAAGCAAAATGCACTATTTTTAAAGCGATTTTCAAAGATGGAAATCTAACAGCTACATAGACTGATTTTCAAAACACCGTGTTCTACAAAAAAATACGTAGTGTAAATAGGAAAACTTGACGAAATCCGTCTATTGATATTTTGACAACTTTAAATATGATTCAGCTCTATTTTATAGTATCTAGTGATTCAACAGTGCAGCAAGCATGAAGAATAAAAATCGTAAAAAGTTTCAGTCTTGTTGTTTAATGAGTGTTTATCCGCTGGCATATTTTTGCATATAGTTACGGTTTCGTCATCATTAGGAAATAATCTCATGAAAAGCGGTTCTTTTCTTGACTGATGTCATGTTTCGTTGTGACTATCATTCTCACCATGAAGGCACAAGTTACAAACGAGATCGTATTAAAGGTTCCTTATTTCTTAAGGATTAGTTATTTTCAAGGAAAATTTCGGTAATTTTGAACATTGAACTGAAATTAGCTATGTGGAACATTTGTTAGTAATCCAGGTCAACAAGATGCACATATATTTTTATTGTCTGATCCATTATTGAATTTCAGGCGCGCTTTTTTCATATGACAGGACAAGCTTCATTTTGTGTTGTGTATAATTAAACTAGTACAAAATGGGCTCATTGTACAGCATATTATTCATCAGTAAAGGTTTTCCTTCTTCGACCATTGATCATGTGCTAAGACTGGTGCATTGAATATTATAACTGGTTTCTACAAAGTTATTTTTACAATGAATGAAAACTAATCCATCATTAGGCTAAGGAAATGGGACTATCATAGTTTACGTACCTCAAACGTGACACCTGCAACGAATTCCTTAGGCTTTGCTTCAAGTACATTTAACCAAAGTTCAGCAACTTTCCCGAAATCCTTTGCGCTCGCTTCATCAACAGATTGACGAAGCGCTTCTAATGCTCGATTATCGTCATCGGATTCTTCTCGACGGAGAGCCTCGCCGAGCAAAAATTGTAAGCGCATCACCTAAAAAAAAGAATATTGGCTACTTTTTCTATAACTAGGATTAAGTCACAGCTGTATATCGCTTTCATACCAGTATTCCACTATTACCGTAAAAATACATTTAAAACTGATTTGTTATTGATGTAAACTCGACTTATTCTACCGATAATACCGAAGTACTGTTCAACCACGCCATACATGCATGTACCCCAGCATATGGCTTGCCGTTTTCAACGTCACTAAATACCACCGGCGATTTGACAACTGTTCTTTTTCTCTTTATAAGATCACTTGCCCCCATTACGAAAACACTGCGTGGTTACGGAGTCGGGCGGAGTTTGTCACTTGTTCTCCAACCCTTTTCCGCGACCGCTGGCATAACAGATACGCATACGCACAAGGTCTTTTATCGAAGGTTCACATTCTTCTATGTCTTCCCGATCATAAATAGCATTGCCTCTACTTTAGCCTGGCACGTGAATCGCAGCTATCTTCATAGTGAAGTTTTCCGGTAGTTCACCACAACAAACCACCACGGAAGGTGTTTTTATGATTGCTTGTACTAAACTATTCACTTTTGATTGCATTCTTTTGGCCTCATCCATCCTCACATTCCAGTTTAATTGTTGTGACCACACAGACCACCTAGTCCAATGGCTACATTATTGTACGCATTCATTTGCGTTGTAATTTAATATGACGTTATAGACCATTAAGGGAATAAGGCCTGGCCACACGTTAACACGTTAGACTTTAAGATGTATATCTTAAAGTCTTTATATTGCCACACCATTCCTGTCTATTAACCACCATTTATGCTTACGAATGTCAGGTACTGCGACTTTGGTAAATGCTTAGCCTACCCAAAGTTGACAACAGCAGAATCCTCATATTAGTTTGGCAGCCATGGTTCAACTAAATGTATAACCTGTTTTACATGACAATATAGAACAAATTTGGTAGCAGAAATTCCACGGTATTCTGTAATTATAAGCGCATTGACAACCTTTAGTAACCCAAAATAAACAAACCAATTATAATATTCTTTACGGCTGACAGTATACTTCTATAGCCCTCCAAATTGAACCAAATATTGCGCTTGCCAACTAATATTAGCTGATGTTAAAAACATCTTGCGTATGCACCACGAACCGGCCCATTGATGTTTAGCGAAGGATAAGATCTTATACTGTGATTTTACGATCATATGCCTCCACCCTTGCTTATTAAGGAAAAAGCAATGACTAGCGGAATGAAAACTCGACTTCTGCAAAGCGCATTTTGTCGCCAAATCCAAATTGGCATATTGACTTGCAGATCCTAACCTAAAACAGATTTTGGAACAGAATTGAAATCTTTCTTAGCTTATGATTAATTTTTCATACTACACAACGTGTGTAATTATAATAAATAATGTTATTCAATTCTTTTTTTACAATGACTTCTGCTGAAGAGGATTCAGTACTATAAGACTTCTATTAAGCACGATGTTGGCAAACATTCACCGTCATAATTAGATCTTATAGAGTCTTTTAAATTAAACTGACACTTAAAACTTTTTCTTTCTCATGAAAGGTGAATGTGTATGCTAGATCGGGGCCTTTATATCAAAGGCTTCTTATTTTCACCTTACTTGGCTTTTCGTTTAATGTAATATAGTTACAACATTACACTTTCTGCAGTGGACATATTTTACAACTATAAGGGATTCTTTGGATAAGATCATAATTATTGGAACGAGCATACAAAGACACGTCAGATTTCTTTTAGATTGAACAATACCTTTCCAAGGGTATCAATGGTTCTCTGATTAGCTTCGCGTTGTTCCTTTTTCGCACGGGTACGCGCGACGGCTTCTTCGTTCTTTGCCAACTGTTCTGCCGTTTGCAAAAAATCCCGGCACACTTCTAGCATATCTGACACCTATAAATATAGATCAATGGTATAAGAGTTATACGGCGAAATACGATTCTACCAAAAAATTACGTCAAATAATGCTTTACTCGGATTAATTATCAAAAATTTCCTTCAAGTTAATGTATGCAATTCCGGCATTTGTGTAGATAACGGAAAACGCAGCTTTGAAACTCTGCCTGTTCTATGTAATGTCTTCTAGGGATTTTCTTAAAATAAAAATGTAAATCTGTTTTTGTTCGCCGCAACTTACCTTCTTTAGCCGAAAGTGTTAATAAGAAATGTCAGTGAAACAGTACCTGTATACCTTTTAATAGATTCATGTCGCTAGGATAAAGCCGCGACCATATAACCGTGATAACTACAGTAATTAAGATGCAAAACTATTTTTACAAGAACAGGATCTTTTAATAACAGCCCGTAATTCCGTATTATATAATTGCGAGCGGTCTTAGCACATTCAGCTATTGACAACCTAAAGCCTAAAGAGTCTACATCGAATATTATACCCAAAAAGCTGGTACCAATAATCGAACAAATAGATCTACCCAGCAGAAATTGAAAAAATGTTTATATTGATAAGTTGAAACACGATGGTGAATGAGCCTTCTTCTCGATTCTTGCAGATTCATATCACCACTACGAATTAGGGCCGGCAATATTATTAACATAATTTGAAAAAGATATATAATCAAAAAGTGAAAACTTAGTAAAACAGAGAACTAACATTAATTTCTCTACCAACTTTTTTAAATAAACATTTAAAAAAATTTTTCCGTTGATAAAAGCCGCATTTTACTGTACACCAGATTTCTAAATGGTGCGAGCAAAATTATATGATTATGTATACACTCGAATGCGCTGTAATGCGTATACGCTTAATAACGTACCAGTTGTAGCTATGATAGGAGCCTCGAAGTTGTAATAGATCGAGGTAAGATTTTAGACGATACATAACTCAAATATTGTTTATTCTACTTCTGTACTTTGTTAGTTTTTGTAAGCTCACGTATTAATTAATTTCTGCAAATTGTATTGTAAAAACACGTGTACAAACATATGCTACCAGATATGTATCGATTATATGCCAGTTGAGCATATACTATTGATCTGATTAATTAATAATGTATTAGATTATTACAAGCGAATACGATAGGTTTTAAAACTGAATAACTTTTAAATCAGTTGGGTTTGAATTATTGATGATATATGTTAGGGATATAGTCATTTTTGATGTACTTGTACAGTGCTCTGACAATTCTGGACGGGCATATATCTAGCACTCCTGTTCCCATATGTAGTTTCTCAATCTATAGTTTTTTGAAATAACTTGATCGTGAGATAAGCTTATCCGCTAGCTGCCCTCGTTAGGACATAGCAAGCGCCGTAATTACACGGACCTAAAGAACAAACGGGTTGAAACCAGCGTTGGACGTTCCTTTGGTTCTTCAAGGAAATCATGGCGATAACTAGACTAAGTGTAATTAGACTGCGTGCTTTCGATTGCGTGCCAATGATCCATGAACCTCTTGAGGAATTAGGAATGGCAGGCTACATTCATCGTTTTACTTTCAGTGAGATCTTACAGTAGCAGATGCGTCTGATGTCCATGCCAAATACTACCATTACCTTACGTTCGAAACCTACTCGACGCAGTCGTCAAGCTCCATTTCTTTTCAGGGCGACTTCATCCTTTTGCCTGATTTCTCTCTGACTGGCAGTAAAGAATGAACTATACCTTGTCTGTAGCAATCGTATGCTCCAGACCGTCTTTTCTCGATGAAAGTTCTGCCACACACATGCTCAATTGACCTAGAGTCAATTCACAGAGGTCCCACTTTTTCAAAGTCCGCATTTTCAGTATTTCGTTATAATTTTGGCCGATAAAGCACTTGCAACTCCAAGTTCAGCTTTCGTGAAAAGCTTCCTCCGCTGTAGCAATATAACCTTGTTCTTTGAGTCCCGACACTTGCTACCTTCGCTTGTCTTCAACACTCAATTACGTGCCTAAGACCTCTTTGTTTAATGTCTCCACCAATTTTCAGTGTATTTCCGCAGCGCTGTAGCCTTCAATAAACAAAAACTTGATTACTAAGCGATGATTTTTAGACTGAAAGATATCTTTCTTCTGAACTCCGTTTATTACCTTGTAATAAACCTAACTGACTATCACTTACAAGTTTCTTGAAGATTGTATTCACAATATAAATACACTCGCGTCGCATACTTCGAAAGTTATTCATTTCTATTATCGGGTTTAATTCGCTTGTAACAATTTCCCTGGCGGTTTAAGAATATATATTAGTAACGAAAAATAAGCAGTAATTTACAGCTATATATAAAATACAGCTATGCTTTTTTGAGCTTCACTTTATATGGAATCTAAATGTGTTTCAACACAATATGATCATTACGTTTGCTGCTTAGATCAGCTTCTCTGGGTTTAAGAAATTTGCATTTATTTAAATTCTATTGTACATTTATGAGAAATTTACGAATGCAAGGTGAGCGCATCTCCCGAACTTTCAACACACTCACTAAATGACTTTCTCACTTAATGGTTACTCCAGTCTGCAACGTACAAAGGACTAGCTGTCCCTCGTAAACCCGTTCACCATACAAAAGCACTCCATTTGTTCCTACGTACTGCCTAAGAATAATTGACAACGTATACAAAAGTGAAACACTATAATAGAGGCAGGCTGTGAAGTATATAACGGTTTGCTCCAATGGCGAAGTTGACACGGTGCCGGCATGTATGAATGTACCAACCGCTCGCCGAACCGAATACTAAGACTCAGGTCGTTTGCCAGGTCACGCTCACCCTTAAATTGTCTCAATGAGTGTAAGTCTGTTCGTGATAGTGATCGTGTGGGCGTTTTACAGCCGTCCTTCTAATAAACGTTAACGGTAGTTTGCAAAAACGTTAAGATAAAATAAAACTGTACTCAGAAGCTCTCGATAGTTCCCTAAAGATATCTAGAGGGATCATGTTAAAAATATGAATAATATGCCTGTTTATTATACAAATAACTCAGCTGTTCGATAACCCGTCAAAAAATTTAGAACGTTAGTTGGCTGCAGTTCCTTTGCAAACTTGAAAAAAAACATACTACGAAAGGAAAAAGGCAACGATGGGTTACAGAGGACTCTCTTTTGTATCCATTGGTTACATAAGACTCTTTTGCCGTGAAGAATCTAAACAGAAGAGGGGACTATATTCGAACTTATTAATTCATACAAATAAGCTAGCATAAGGTTACGGTGCTTCGGTTTGCACCGTGTTCCACAATGTTCCATTCCAATGGAACGCGCAGACACAATTTGCAAATGGACAAGACCTCACACATATAATGATACGCTCCCTTCGAAATACGTTATGTTGTTACATGTGATCCACATCCTTACGGAAGTTAGATATTCCCTTTGGAGCTCGACGGAGTATTCTAAACGCCTGTCATTGTTGGGTATGCAGCGTCCAGATGTACAGAAGTTAGCACTAAACGAAACCGCGTTACCGTCACCAAATTGCTTTTGCACACTACAGAGAATTTATTTGTTTAAACTAAACTAACTTACCAGTGACAGCTCAAAGCTTCTTCTACCTGTCTAACCAATTTTATCAATATGTAATTTTAAGTTTAATTGGTCTATGGAGTTTATTTTCTATCGTTTTTTGAGCGATTTTTTGCTTAAATTTCTTATAGGCACCTGCAAAAAGCTTATAGGAGCGGAACTGCGTTGTAATAGGATTTTCAGAAAGACTTTTTTGCTTCAGAAAAAGGCGGCCGAAAGTCTACATAGAACTCCTCGCCAGGCGTATCTCTAAATACCAACTGGAAATCCACAGAGACACCTTTCGACTCCTCAATCTTAATTTCTGAACCAAAATGCTTGCCGAAATGTAAAAAAGTGGCGTTCTATATTTTTGAAGATTGTCGTTGGTGCGTATTGATATCCCATTGGCCTAATATCTAAGTGGAAGGCTCTTTTACAAAAAGAGAGTTTTATTAACACCATCCAGTTTTACGTTTTAGTGACTTGAGGTCAAGATTGAAGTGCGAGTGTGCTCCAATTAATAGCCGAAAAGCGTTATTTGGTGAACTCCATTAACGTGCAAATTGTGTTTCTGCATAAGGAAAGTATAATGAATGAATCAGTGAAACTACTACTGCAATTCTCGCTGATATGGTGAGAACAATTTAGCTGTACTATGCGATTAGTTGATATAGTTTATGCTAAAAGGTCTTGTTCTGAAAACAACAGCGTTCTTTTTTGGTTAACAATCAAAAGATTTAAAATTAGACATTAAAAAAATATTGGCCACAACGTAGCGCCCAAGTAGATCTAATGAAACAATTCCGACTGCTTAGACAACAACAGGCAGGAACAACATGAAATTGGTATGTTTCTCATTTTGAAATATGTTTTTCAAAGCACACCAGGGCTGTTTTACGAAATTTCCGGTCAACATGTTGAATGTCCTAATCTGCTCTTCGTATAAAATTATGGGCAGCCGTTTTCGACACGTACAAATATAAGCTACTAGATGACTCAAATTATTTTATGGTAAGTTAAGTTCCAAAACAAAAAAATATTTTGAAGGCATACTAACATAGGCCTTGAATATATCAATAACAGTAAGAAGAAAAATCAATAGATCTGTCCAATATAACACATCTATTTTCTAAAATAAAGTTCAATAAAACTGCCCTTAATTTTGTAGATTAAGACAATCTATATAATAGAATGTATCAAATCCTTAAGTGATTAAAAACAATGGTTTTGAAATGGATATAGTTTCCAACAACTTCAGAGGCAATTTAGGCTATGTGATGGTGTACTGAGTGTCAATATCTCAATATGACAAAACACGAAAGCTATTAAAAATCTTAGGTATATCGCGGCAATACATAATGGATATGAGTTTCACTGCAGGACCGTAACACTCGTTGAACTAAGACTGCTCACCCAGTTCAAAAATTTTATCAAGAAATGCTTGAAAGGTTACCCATTTGGACTTCATGCCGCCGCTGATTTCCCCTAGCAAACTAATTTAGCAAAATATTGCAACATCTACTAAGTCAAAACGATGGTATGGAAGTTTTCGTGCAGAATGAGTGCATAATATAGCATAAATTTAGATCAATATAATGGATAACTATTTTTCTAAAAAAATAATTCTAGGTAAAATGAAAGATTATGGAACAACTTATAGTCTAAACAAGTAAATGAATAAAGCACTTAAGACACAAAATACTGCAAAAAAATTATTTATACCTGATCCTTCTTCGAGAGGGCTGAACGCTGGTTTTCACTAACCTCCTTTCCCATTTCTACATCCTTCTCAACCTGCTCCAAGCGAGTCTAAAAAGAGTCATAGATAATCAAGGAAGAATTTATAACTCATGCTTACTGCCAAATTTTGCTCTATAATACATTGAGCGTTAATTCGTACACATATTGGTATTCGTTATAAGCAGCTACGCACGACCTGTTTAACGATTTTGTGACGCACTCGAAGTTTCCTTGCAATATTTCGGAGATGTTAATTTATAAATAAATGAATTAATTCCTTATTACATTCGTGTAGTATACGAACCAGCACTGTGGAAATAAATCGAAATTCAATAAATTCGAAACAGTTTGAGGTGAGTTTTTTCTTTTATATATGCCCTACAGATGTGTATTTAAAAATAAAAATATGATCAAAGAATCACGATCTATTAATTGGATTTAAGAATGATAATCTGCCCACTTGAATCTCCAGTTCCATTGTCTTTTAGACAGTTCACATTTTCGGTAATCAAAAAGATAATTAGCACCGCAAATGCACATAATTTGGTCAAGCTCAAATTCTCCGCCTAACTTTAAAAGTTGAGTGGTTAATTTTTGGTTCTATCTAAAAACTGTACTTTAACAAGTAAACAGTAGTGCTGAAATAAGTATAAAACGAAAAAGAGGTCATTTTACGACTTTAAACCTGTCTACACTGACCGCTGACGCATCGTCAATTTACCCGTGATTATTTGCGAATTTAGGAGTATTTTTTACATTTTGGTTTCCCTATAGCACCTAACAGTCATTTAGACGGTGTGTTAGATATGGAAACAGTTGAATGGTGTTTCTTGAACTCCAATGCATGCTTTAGTATTGCCCTTTCCAACGCACTCATAACTAAGAACTTATACAAATATATACAAAGAAACCTATAAATTCATTCCAAACTTATACGTTTCCTCACCAATGGACGGCCCTTAGAAAGAAAACCAAGGTTCAACCTACAACTAGTCTCGTATAAACCACCAACTTGAAAGCTAATTTAGCGAAATTATTTAGTTAGTACTGAAAATGATTATCTTGCGAACTAAGTATTAAACACGTTAATTCAGCTCTCATAGTACTTAACAAAAAAATGACCGCCACCTTTTTTGGCGACAACCTACCACAATTTGCACCAATGATTTCGTAAAAGTTGTTTTTAGGTGAGATCTATTGCTAAACAAATGCATACGGGTTCTATTTTCCATAAAGGCTAATTTCTATCAACGTCGAACACAGGCATACTTCAACTTAAATCTTGTACATAATGTTTAACGTAAAATCAATTTTTTTTTGCTGTATAGATGATTAAATCGGTCTACCTTAGGTGAAATTTGCCAAGTTGCTTAAACTTAAAAGATCAAAGCATTTGGCAATAGTTATATAATAGCAACATATAATAGGAATATAATAAGAAACAAGAAGTTCCATACCTTTCTCTTTTCGAGGTTACGTATTTTCTTTTCAATCACTGTAAGGATGTCCCGCAGGGTGCCCTGCATTACCACAGAACCTTTACGTTCCTGCGTCATCGTGCGCGATTCTAATACCAACAGTCATATTTGAAAAGACAGCATAACAATTTTTAGTGGGTAAAATCACAAGAACGCTTTTACTGAACTACAAAGGGGATAAACTGCTTTTGCTTTCAACATGTCCGTTGCTTTGGACTAATTGTAATGGCAATTAGTCACTATTTAATTCATGGCAATGGTTATCTTCAGCACATGCAAATCCATCAAAGCATACAAATGCTTCGCTACAAATTAGCAAATTTTACAATACTAATAACTTAAATAATCAACATCTCACAAAAGTTTAGAAAATAAGTTGTAACAATCTTTACGCAGCCATAATGTAACGGGTTAATTTGAAATGATCCACGGATTGCATCGATCCAGTCCTCTTTTTTCGAAGTACGAGCTAGTTCCGCACGCCTATTTTTCGTAATTACGCGTAAACCCAAATGTACAATTCTTTCTTGAGTAGGCAATAATTCTTTAAAAAAAACTGTGTTCCAAAGAGATGGCACGGTTTTTGTGGAGTACTTCTGGTCAAATTCAATCGAGATTTACGAACTCCAAATATTAGGTGGGACCTGCTTTTATTGCTTATTTATTATTATTATTATATTGTTTATTTATTATTATTAAATTATTCTTGCTCCTCAAACCAATTATTCATCAAATATATATCACATTTTTTCACTATATTTCGAAATATTTTTTAAAGACTTTGGGCAGAACCCGAAGAAGACTATGTGAAGTCGTTTTATATTCCTTAACGAAATAAAACTAAAATGCGGTTTAATTGTATCCGAATTTGGCACCTACGCTACAAAAAAAATATTTGATTATAGGACAACTGACACATTTAACTCAGGAATCTCAATCATAAATCGGGATTCCTACAATTAATTCACCGAGTCCAGTTTTTTTTTGACGTCTTCAGCCATTTTCATTATATATAAAATTTTCAAAACAATCCCTGCGGTATAGTATCCACTAAATCTAAAGATTAACTGGGTGAATTTTGGGTGAACAACTTACTGATCTACCAACTAAATAGTATTGTTACTTTCACTTGAGAACTATTCAGTCCCGTATTGTGAGATAGGTTCGTTTAGATGTTCGTAGAAAAGTTTATAATACTGCAAGTGCCAAAAAATTTTCAAGCTTAATTTCGAAAAAAATTTTCGCAATTTGGGGTTAAATCTACTATCAACAAATCAATTATGAAAACCAAATTTAAGAGTAAAGATATTTCAACACTAAACGACCAAAATAAATGTCTTTACCAAAATTTCCAGATCATGTCATCAAGCAACTATCTTAGGATTCTAGCTTCGAAATTATCTGCATTAAATACACAATTATTTTGCGTCTAAATTACCTATTCACAAAAAATAGACTGAATATTTTTAAAAAATCGAGTGCAATACATACAAGACTGAGGCTAGACAGAAAGCATAAGAGTTTTTAATGTTTTTAAATCTTAACATTAATGAGGCTTTCTTATGGAAACTTTTGATCTAGTATAAGTATAAATAAGTATAAATATCTGCAATTGTGTGGAACTTTAAACTCATATAAACAATAGGTATCATAGACCGTCATCGTAGCTACACATTATATATTATAGACTACACTTTTTATTATTTAGACCAGATAGTTCAAACAAGCTATTTTTCGCTTAACTAATTTTCCTTATATAGACAACGAAACTATGCAAAACCATCACCATGTTATCAAATATTTAAAAACCAGAGTATGTTAGCTCTGCTGCTACTTGTGTGACACTTTCTTTTTTATCACAGGCACCTTTTCTATGGTCCTTTTTTTCTACATATGCAATCAAATTTTAATCTGTATATGCCCCATGGGACCCAAATGCGACCAAATAGGTTGCTTACTCTCTTCATTTTTCGCCTTTAAAATATAAGACCGCTCGATTTCAGCAAACTTCTCTTCAAGTGACGTTTTTGCCCTATATAGCTGGCATTGACTCATTGGCTGGAGCGTGTGCGTGCGTGATCCGTCAGGCCTAAAACATTCGAACTATATTGTTCGATTATCTAGTCGGTGTTCGACTATTTCAGTTTGTATTTAAGTATAGACTAACTATGGAGTAAAATAAAACCAAATAAGCGACGGTCAACTATAACCAGCGTGACAAATGAAGACATGAGGAAGATGGCTGCGCGTATTATGTTAGCATCAGACCTTCATTCAATATTTAATGTATCTTAATGTATGTAACAATCTTCGTCACTCCTTACCATTCCGGCCCTATCTCACCTACAAGAATAACAATAGAAAATGTAATTATTGTATAAATGAAATTCAATCATTTACTAACCTTCTATTCGGCGGCCACTGTGCCCACTTAAAACCAGATACAATTTGGCTCCGCTGCAAAGCGTCGTTCAGTTCTACAGAATTGTTACTACTAGCTGTTCCAGCTAGGGGTGGCAATTTCTAATGATTATTAACGAAGATGTGCGAACTACTAACTCTCAAGAGAGTGCAAATAAAGCGTAGTTGGCCAGTATGTGACGACCAAGCCCAATATACAACCATTCAATCAACGAACAAACGAGAAAACCACGAGAAGTAGTACCACGACCAAACAACAAACGAAGGAACGAACAGACGACGACGACACCGACAGGCCAAACACCGACCACACCAATCACCCACCACCGCAACGTTGCACCTCTGCTGTTGTTGTTGCTCGTGCTGGCGATACCGCTGCCGCCGTGGTCTGGACTATCCTATTCGTCTGTAATAACAATCTAGCATATAAATACGAAAAAGCAGCCCTCATCAAGACTCTCCGTTGCTAGTGATGTTTCTAATTCTCGAAAACACAGAGCGAATGAACACGCAGTTACTGATTGGAGGTCAGTTTCTTAATTGCTGCGCTTCGACGTGTATGGACAATAACACGCTATTCTCGACTATACAGTCACCACCGCAAAAGAACCAACAAAGACATCTGAAACAACGACTATTCAGCTCGCTTACAACGTACAAAAGAGCGAAGAAGGAGAGCGTCTGCTTTTCTGCTACCGACGACGACGGCTAGTTTAGCTGGGACTTGGCTGAATGAATGCATGAATCTGTGAATGTATTTGTATGGTTATGGTTATCATTGCCGCGCGAATGAATGAACGAATGCGAACGTATTGAAGTATACAAGTGCCAGGTTGATAACGGCTTGCATTACGAAGTATTAATTTCTACTTGTTTAGAATTTGCAGCAAAATTCTGAACCACTGTTATATACTTCGAAATCGCTTTTTATACAAGGTTCTACATCAATTATGTTATGTATTTATTCTAAAAATATTTTCTATGGTTGAACAACATGCTCTGCGGGTGCAGACTGATAGCGGGCCAAATAATTGACAGAAGCTACTCAAGACGCTCCGACGTGCACGGCTTTTTTTATAAGTTTCGCAATCGAAGTAATAGTTCTTGAGAAACTTATAATGGATTCCATATATTTTTTTTTGCTTCTCAGAACCTTTACTAGGGTTTTTGGCGCATTGATCGTACTAAACAAGAAGATTTACGCGTAATTGATCATCTTAAACTTTAACTTAATGGATGATTGTGCGTGTATATGACACAAGTCATGCTTATGGGCAGATTATTGTAGAACTATCGGCGAGAGTGAATAAATAATTGATTGGCTAATGCGACGGATAAATATTAATTGGATTTTCAAACGATATATTAACAAAAAGCCTTTCAGTTTACGGTTATGGGAACGTATATAGTTACATCTGCACATCCGTAGTAAAAACAATGAGGGCAGGAGCAGAGCTCACCAGAGTAAGTTTGATCAGTTTTCGTTTTCGTCAGTCCCACACCGATCCACATTGATGACAAAGGTAGCACTAGAAATTGTCATGGCCTATCAAAAATTGATTTAAAAAGTATGGCAGGTGCCCACGAGTCGATCTACCCAATTGCGTATTATTAGGAAACACGCGTGCATTCTTGCCGCCGTGAACCCGCTTATTTTGCCAAGCCGGAGTAATATTTTTTTATTTTCTCATAGGATCGTTCCCACGAGGACCATTGTAGGAGGTGTACTAACTAACCTATAGGCTCAAATAGGGCATAAAGAAACCCAGGAGAGACCCAAAAGAGAATGAAAAAGGCATTTTATATTCGGTGACCGAATTTTTCTTCAGTGTGCTGGTTTAATTTGCAGCTTCAGTAATAGTTGTAGTGAACAATACTCTGAGACCAAGGGAGCCCGATTCCACGCCTTGTTTGAGTCTACAGATCAGTTAGTATACGCCGTACAATGGTCCTCACGGGCCGACCCCATGAGAAAATAAAAGATTACGCTGACTTGGCAAAACAAAAGCTATCTGAAGGGTTCACGGCGGGAAGAGTGCACCCACATTTCCTTATAATACGCAGTTGGGTAGATCGATTCATGGGCACTTGCCATACTCTTTAAATCAATTTTTGATAGGTCATGACAGCTTTTAAAGCTACCTTTGTCGTTAATGTGTACCGATGCGGGACTGACGAAAATGGCGACACCAAACTTGCTTTGGTAGACTACCTAACACTGGAATCATCCAAGGAATGACCCGAACTGTAGCTGCAAAAAGTAAGGAAATGGACTTTGTAGATTCGCTAAATATATCTGTGCAAACAGGAGTTCGTGAAGAGTGAAGGGCAGCGTTCAAAAGGAGGTAACTAGAGCGTTTACCAAGTCAGTTATGCCCCGTTATCACTACCCCTGAAATCTGACGAATCATGTCAACTTTGTTAACTTTACTAAGTTGTTCCGAATGTTTCTCCATTAAAAATATGTTGCAGAAAACGTTTTGATAGATTTTTCAATTATAAGAAATTCTTAACAAAAAATAGCGTGCCTTTGGAAATCGTATATATATAAAGAGATAAGATAAGCTGTTACTAGTGAATCCGAGTGAAATTTAATATCTTTTGAACTAGTTGGTCCAGATAATTTAAGATGACATTTCTAAATAACAATTTTTTATTGTGTTAAAAATACTCTTTTTTGGCACGCTTGTCGCAGTATTTCAGCAAATTTCAAACAGCCACGTACCTGTAACTCGCGTTTCCTGGCTTCTATGCCACCTAGTCTAATAATGCTGATGCTAGTCTATGACTTCTCAAAGTAAATCGATAAGGGGTATGCTTGCCCACGACTTGCCTTTTTTGATGTATGTATTGTTTCATAATTACAGGGACTTATATACTGAGAATAAGCGGGTTGAACGCAACCTTGAATAGGTGCTGCGATGGGGTCCGGCGTTATCACTAAGTAATTAGCCTATGTGTTTTCGATTGCCGTGCCTTCATGAGTCCTTTAAGGGATTCAAAACAGATAAAAAAAAAAATTCAAAACGTTTGTTGTTTCATTTTTGCTAAGGTCTCAAGGTAACACGTGCTCTTGAGGAAGTACCATTATCACCTTACATCGGAACCTACTCGACAGTGCCACCGAACTCTACTCTGCAAAGCAACGCTATTTTTTTGCCTTATCCCTCTTCAGCTAGTGGTACAAATGGAGCCATGCCTTGTTCATGGTGATCGTATGCATCAGGTGGGTTTTTCGTTTATTAGTATTTTGCCAGTCGTACGTGAAATACACCACAAGCATTTTGAGCTAGAGTGAATTCACGGAGTCTATTTTTTACTCATATTCAACATCATCAGTATTTAGGCTAAAACCTTATGACACGTTACGTATGAAGTCCTAATCTTAACCGACAGATCTTATGAACTATATGCTCTTCTTTTATAAAAAGCCCCTTCAATTGCAACAATGCGTTCTTGCTGGCAACATCTGGTTACCTCTTCACTGGTCTTCAACACTTCATTCCTAAAATGTTTGCACCATTTGCGTACCGTGCTCTCGGTTAAGGCCTTATTGTTTAACTTCGGTAAACTTGGTAGTTCAAAAGTTATTGAATTTTTAAAGTCTACTGAATTCGCTTGTAACCCGTTTGTATATATATATATATACACACACACACACACATATATATATATATATATATATGTGTGTGTGTGTGTGTATTGTCATTACCGATATCATGAATGCTACTGGTGTTAGTACGGCATATATTCAAACATTTAATTACATTTATTCGGTTTTGCTTAATAAATACAGGTCGACAACATAGTATCTCTATATTAGAGAAAATATACAGAGACATGTAAGTGCGTTTGTGTCGTATAGGTTATGACTCATATCTCATACATTGCGATCGGAACTACTTTGAGGTTGAACAAGCTAAAAAAGGTTGCAGACGACAAGGTATCAGGCGATGTGATCGCCCATGCGGTTAGCATTGGTTTTCCGTATTTTTCAGTGACGTGCGCATCGAAATTTCTATCGTCCGCGCAGGCGATCGAGCCTAAGTACGGAAACTAATTTACACAAGTAAGCAGCGGTCTGGCAAAATAGTATCAATGGCCGCTGTGCTGCCTCCTTTCTAATCATCGCCTCTGTCTTCTTCAGGTTTTGCGGTAGTATCAAATCTTTGGCCGCCGCAAGAAGTCAAGCTAGAGGTTGCTGCACTTGAAACCTGTTCGAACCGTATATCACTAAATTGTCTGCATAAGAATGACACTGACTGATTCCCTGAGTCCTTTTTTTGATCAACGAGGTCCTTCAGCAAAGTGAAGGGTGTAAGTAAGCTTAAACTGTCTCCCTAGACTGGACCGATTATCTGTGAGAAGGGCGGGAGTTCGGCCACTCCATCGTTGATGATTATTCTGTTCCCCTATAAAATCTAACAACAAAATTCTACCCGCGGATACCCACCTCGGTCAGAGTGAGCATTTTATTGCTGGGCGCCGAGTCGAAAGTTGCTTTGAACTCGACGAACATCGCATATAGCGGATTGCGCGGCGTGGCCAATGCTCTTTTAATGTCAGCCGTCAAGATTCTACGGAGTATTTTCTCAGAGATCTACGTTGCACCATTGAAGTGGCGCGTACGTTTTTTAAGTAATCATTCGGTTTTTAGTAAGCGAGCCGAATTAAAGCTTATAATTAACATTATTCTTCGCTATTCCTGTCATGATAACGACACATTCGCCATTTCTTTGAGAGATCACTAACAGGGTAGCATTTCTCCACTGGGCTACGAGTGTATCAATATATCAACGTTTATTAAATAAAGCCATCGAGCACAGTACGGGAACGATGGCGCATTTGAGATGCTTGTCGCGGATTTTACCTGTATCGACGGCTTTCTTATTACATAAGTTCTTGCACAATACCTTGCATTAGTTCCCGCTCTATAAAGTTCTATTGAACGTTATCGTTCTTATTGAGATCCCTTCTTTGGAAAAGGCGAGAAAAGGCATCGCGCGTGTTATCGTAAATCTTGACAAAAACTCCTGCGGAAAGTTATTATGAAAGACGGAGGGCTAATCAGGCAATCGGTGCGTTAGTCATTTGTATGGTGGACCTTCTGCATTAGCGATCAAACAGATCTCCGGCCGTTCGAAATATTGTTGGTTTTGTTATACGTTTTTCGACAGATCATTTTGAAAGCGCAGGCTAAGAGGTAGAACTTCAGTTGTATTAGTCATAAGCCTAAAAACTATCTGGGCCCTCCAGGCAAGACTGCAGGTGTAGTTAAACCATGGCCTCTATTTCTAGGGAGAACGCAAAGGTTGTACTATGGACTAAAGAATTTAAACCAAATGCTGTGCATAAGCTCGTACGTTCACTAACATTCAATTCAGCTAGAAGAAGAACTTCGTAGGTGCTTTGCATTTAGTGTTTGACAGTCCACGCAAGTACAAGCTGGACGCTGAGGTCTTTCGCTACTTGTATGTGGGCACGAATGCCCTTGGCAGGGAACAGTTTTCACCGGGAAAGTTTACCTATATCCGGTTACGTTTGTTGTAAATATAAAGATGATTTACATGTCCCAGGAAGGTCGGAGTTGAGAGGGGATGACCACATAGCAACCAAAATCTGGTCTAAAAAAGCCGTATTGCGACTCGAGTTCAGTTGGTCGAGGCGTTGAAATCGCTGACAAT